GAAGGAATCTCTGACTGTTTTAGTATTGAAGCCTGGAAAAGATGCAGTAAATATGGATACTTATAGACCAATCTTCCTGATAAAACAAGACACAATTTTTTTTCTACAATCCTATCTAATAGATTGTACACATTTATTGGAAAATATATGAATATATATGTGCCGGGATTTTAGCATTAGATATCTTTAAGGCATTTGATTCAGTGGAATGGGATAAGATAATATGAGATTTGGAGTTAAGTTTAAACATTGTGTAAATCAATTATATAAAGATAACACCACAAGAGTCCTGCTAAATGATGGAATCACAGATATAATTTCTCTAGGCTGGAGAACATGTCAAGGATGCCTCTTGTCTCCCATTTTATTTGTGACAGTTATGGAATTATTAGCTATTGTGATTAGGAAAAATGCGGAACTAAAAGGGATTTAAAGAGGAAGTTAAGGTAAATTTAGTTGCTGATGATACCCAATTGACGTTAGAAGTTATAGATTGACTTAAGCTGCATTTACAAGAATTTGAGGACATAACTGAACTAAACGTAAATTGGGACAAATCTAAGATTATGTTAATTAATTATAGCAAAGAAGATAAGGCCAAGCTGAAAGATTTATTTGAAGGAAAAAGGAAGGATACAATAAAATATTTGGGAATTTATATTACATGGGATATACACAAAATGGTGAAACTGAATATGGAATGTCTTAAAAAACAAATAGAGGAATATATTAAGGAATTTGATAAGGTCAAACTATCTTGGTTTGGTAGAATTGCGGTATGCAAAATGAAGATTATTCCCAAAATTAATTTTCTTTTTCAGATGCTACCCATTAAGATTGCAGATTCTGATTTGAAAAGTTGGCAGAGTATGATTAATTCCTTTTGTAATGGTGGGGGGAAGCTAGAATTAATTAAAATTTAATTAGCACTATGTTGTTATGTATAGTTTTAATGATGTTACACATATTTTAACCTATGTTGTTATGTATAATTTTAGTCTATGCATTATCTAATTTATGTTATTTGTATAATTTTGTTATGTATTTTTGTAAATAAAAAATAAAATATTTTAAAAAAGAGAAAAAACAAGTTCCAGAGTGTGGCCTTTCTCATGTGTTGGGCCAATGACATGCTGAGACAGCCCCATGGTTATCATGGTGGTCATGAGGTTCTCAGCTGCTCCAGATAAGGAGGCCTCAGCATGGAAATTGAAGTCCCCAAGGACCTCAAAACCAGATCCGAGACCAACTCCATCAGCTGAGGCAGGGAGACTGATAAAGAATCCCCAATCTGTCTCGGAAGCCCAACACACAGTGCAAACATTCTAGACCATGGGTCCTCAAACTACGACCAGGGGGCCGGATCGTCCACCTCAGAGGTTTTCAGTGTGCTGTGCGCACATGCGCACCCCACGAGCCTGCTGCCCCCCGCCTCGCCCCCCGCACGGGGAGGTGGTGGCTTGCTTGCAAGGAGATTGTTTTGGATTTGCTGGGAGAAAACGATCTCCAAGCGAGCAAGCTGCTGCATCACGCGCCCACCACTGCATCACGGCGCGTGCCCACCCCTGCCTTGCCTTGCCTCCCCTCGCCACACGTGCCAGCATGCCCGCGCCTCACTGCGCCCATGCACCGGCCCACGGGCACTGCTGGCACCACCTTTCCAGCCCACGCCCAGCACCGGCACCTTTCAACTGGCCCCCTGCTGAAAAAGTTTGAGGACCCCTGCTCTAGACCAGTGATGGCAAACCTTTTCGAGACCGAGTGCCCAAACTGCAACCCAAAACCCACTTATTTATCGGAAAGTGCTAACACTACAATAAAACCTGAGGTTTTAGTTTAGAAAAAACACCTCACAGCCAGTTCAAGCAAATATATATATATATATATCCTTGGCAGCACACTGACCGGCCATGCAAAAGCTTGGACGAGTTGTGGCTACTGAATCGCGGCTCGTGAAGTCATCGCCTGGCACTGCTACTCCTTTCTGAGCATGCGCATGGCCCCTATGTGTGCTGGTATCCAATGCTCAGCTGCTGGGGTGATGCTGGAGCAGCTTGGCTCGCATGCCGACAGAGAGGGCTCTGCGTGCCCACTGTGGCACATGTGCCATAGGTTCGCCACCACTTCTCTAGACCTTCACCTGAGGGGACAGGAAGCCTGGGAAAAGAGATCAAATCTTTAAAAATTATTGCCAACCCCCCTCCCTGGCCCTCTAAGTGATACCAAATACCCCAGGGGCATAACTGAGAAAGAGAGACTCCACCCTCCTTTCTCACCCAGGTTCCTGTAATGCACACCAGGTCGGCACTCCTCAAAACACTTGGTGGGCACCAGGTTGGGGAACCACTGGTTTAATGAGTTGGGCCAGTGCCATGTTTCCCACAACCTTTTTTTTTTTTTTTAACATGGAGAATGTCTAAAATCAATTCCAGAATTGGTGCATGCACACTTGGTTGCAGCTTTCAATTCTTCCTGTTCATTTGTGTCTTTAAACAAATATCCAAAGTGCTTGTGCAAGCAAATCCTTCCCAACTCTTGGAATGATTTCTATAAATTAAAGAGATGGGGAAAATGTGAACAAACTGAAAGCAAGCACAACCTGTGCATGGGATAGAACAATAGCTTGTCAGTGCAGTAGTGAGGCTCACAGCAACTCAGAAAAGCACTGTGTAACTGCATTGCAGAGTACCCAGTCCGTGCAGTGTGGGGCATACAAATGACTATTTTTCTGTATAGTGAAGGTGTGAGAAACAGCTCTCTTTCCCAAGTAAACCATGTATCACACTTTTGATGAAGCCTCTGATGTGGTGACAAACCAAAATTATATAGCAATCATTCTGTTAAAATCAAAACAAAAAGTGTTGAAAATTCACCTCCCAGCTGTGACCACATTTTGAGTACATGTCATGGTTGTTCCCCACATGCTTCCCTCCATCACCACAGCTGCTCCAGGATTAGATCACAAGCTCATGGGGAGCAAGGGCCAATCTACTTTCCTGTGTAACTCTGCACTGATAGTGCGGTATAAACAAGAGTCTACTAGTGTGGACAACCCTAGAGAACATGAAGGGGAGACAAGTGCTTTTATGTAAGGGGGCAGTTAGGGGTAGGAGAAAACAGTCAGAAGGGTTGAGCCTCCTCCTAATGATGCTTTTCTAAAGAGGGAGCAAGAATTGTGGGGCAGGGGGATGCATTTTTACTTCACCAGAGATCTAGCTGGAGCAGGCTAAACTGCTGTTTTGGGCTATCAGCATCCTAATTCCAGCAGACCCTTCTGATATGTTACACACTCTCTCTCATTCAAATCACCTCATAATACAAGGTTGGGGTTCCAGACTCATAGTTTTAATACCTTGTTTTCCTGTATTCTATGTGCCACTTTGGCAAATGGAAGTGGAACATGAAGGGAAATTTCCTACATAGTTCAGAGAAGTAGAGAATACAGCTGCCACATCAAAAACAAGACAACTTAAAACCACAGTCACTGAGGGGTTATAAAATCCAACATGTCAACTATTTATTAAACAGCAAGTTTATTAATATACAGATGTAAAAACTGAAACAGTTGTGGCCCCATATATATTTGATTTAACAACATTATTGTGTAAAACCATATACAAGGGTTAGTGAATGTCTGACCCTCCAGATCTTGCAACAGTCCAAATCCCAACATCCCCTGCCAGTGTGGACAATGGGTTTGGGATGATAGGAGCTCATTTTGGGCCATGTATTCCCCATCCCTTACCTAGTGAGACATCTTGAAATTGGACTTGCAGACAACCATTTTATGATGACGGGATCCATTCTGGTCTAGTCAGCCCTCTTTATCTCTCTAGCACAGCCTTTTTCAACCTGATGCTTTCCACATGTTGTTAGACTTTAGCTCCCATCACCTTCATCCAGCATGGCCAATGGTCAGGCATACTGAGAGTAATAGTCCGAAAACATCTGGAGAGCACCTGTTGGAAGAAGACTGCTACAATGGATTAGAACCACTTTTTCAACACTTTTTAATAGCTTTGTGATGAAGAACTCTGTCTGAATAGAGAAAGGGTGATTGCGTTTGGCATGGGGGATATGTGAGTAAACCAGCTATAGTAAGGAGGGCTGCAGAAGCCAGGATGGAAATTAAGCTTGCTTAACGGGAAGCTGCAGGTGGCGCAGTGGTTTAAGCCGCTGTGCTGCTGGGGTGGTAGATTGAAAGGTCGCCAGTTCAGATCTGCACAACGGAGTGAGCTCCTGTTGCTCCGTCCCAGCTCCTGCCAACCTTGCAGTTTGAAAGCATGCAAATGCAAGTAGATAGAAAGGTACCACTTCAGTGGGCAGGTAACAGCATTCCATGCACTTCGGTGTTTAGTCATGCCGGCCACACGACCACGGAGACTGTCTGCGGACAAACGCTGGCGCCTCGGCTAGGAAACTGAGATGAGCACCGCCCCCTAGAGTCAGGCATGACTGGACTTAATGTCAAGGGGAAACCTTTACCTTTACCTTTAACGGGAAGCTCATGAGCCTCCCCAGCAAAGCACATGCCTGATCCTATTGCCATCTTTTTCTTTAGCAAGCTACTGTCATCAATGACCGCGGAGCAGCCTCTATGTTTATGGCCCCCCAGTTCTGCACTACTGATGGCGGAAGCAACAAGAACTGGAGCAGCAGACCTTCCAATTAGGGAGTGAACTACTTAAGACTGCAGAATGGGAGAATACTATCTTTCTGGGGTAGCTGGCCTAGCTATCATGCTAGGTGATGCCTATGTCTTTGTCTAGCAACACAGGCAGATTCTGTGTGGTTACTGAGGTAATTTTCAAGTACCCACACTCCCCAAGGTTCTTGTCCCTTCCTCAGTTTCTCTGCTTGCCTCTCTGCCTGCCATCCCTCACTTCAAGATCTGTCACAGTGTTTCCCTTGGGGTTCTAGCTCCAGTTTTGGGGAGACGTGTGTTTCTGGCACACTACTTTTCAGGTTTCCAGAGCCCTGAGTAGTGCTCACAATGGAATTCAGTGGGCAGCTTTTAGCACCAACACCTTGATGGCTGCAGGGTTGCCATTCCCAACTGACAAGCTCATGTTGTGCCCCTCCTGCTGGTGTGAGGAACGCTCAGACTTGCTGGTGCTGCCATCCAGTGTGGGGTAACCAAAGTGCTTGACCCGGCTCTCCTCTGCACCTGGTGCGACCACCAGGAGGCAGCAGAGCAACTTGAAGATAGCCCTTCTCATGTCTTTACTGGTCAGGGTATAGATGATGGGATTAAGAAGAGAGTTAATCATAGCCAAGGCCAGGAAATAGTCTGCCTTGTATAGCACACTGCAGGCCTGGACCTGGCATGCAACATCTAGCAAGAGGAGCAGGAAGAGGGGTAGCCAGCAGGCTATGAAAGTGCCCACCACAATGGTCACTGTCTTCAGCAGAGCCATATATTTCTGGGATTTCTTGAGCATGCCTTTGCGGAGGGTGCCCAAATGCTGACCGTTGAACTTGACCATGCGATAGATGCGGGCATAGAGCACCACAATGGAGAGCAGGATAGCCAGAAAAACTGTGATGCAGAAAAGGAGATAATGCTTGGAATAGAGCGGCAACACTGTGGAACACTTAGGAAGGTTCTCCATACAGTTCCAACCCAGAACTGGAAGCACCCCGAGCAAGATGGAGGCCAGCCAGCTCGCACCTATTAGCAAGAACATTCGCCCTTTCTTGTCTCCATGGTAGAGCCTCATGCGGATCATAGTTATGTGCCGCTCAATGGCAATTGCAAGCAGGCTGAGCACAGACGCAGCAAGTGTGACAAACACCCCACCTTCTCGCAGGAACCACTGGACAGGGGTAAGCTTGAGGGTGTTGGGCCCAGACATGATGATATTGGCGATATAGGCCACTCCAGCCAGCAAGTCTGACAGTGTCAGATTCCCAATCAGGTAGTACATAGGTAAGTGGAACTTCTTGTTCCTCCAGATGGCCAGCAGGACCACTAGATTTTCCATCACAATGAAGGCACACACAACCAGGAAGGCAATGGCATCGGCCTTGAGGCTGCCCTTGTACTTGCTGGCATGGAGCTTGCCTGTATAGTTGTAGTGCAACAAAATGATATCATTGTTGTGGTACTCCCGGTAGAAGTGGACCAGATAACGTGGAGACTCCATGCTGATGGGCCCTACCCCATGTGTACTTCTCTTCCCTTAGTCTCACAGGGTTTACACGCCACACAGAGTTCTTCCCATCATGAGCCTTTCTTATGCATGTCTCAGGTTCTGTCCAGGGGACGATGATGAAGTTTTACAAAGCAGGTTCCTTTCCCCCGGCAGCAGTTATGCTGCCCTCAGATGCAATTCTGAAGGAGCCACCAGGAATACCAGTGGACTCCTTCCATTTCTATCAATCAAGATGAACCTAAAAAATCAACAAGAAAACCATGTAAATTGATGCTTGCAAAACAGAAGGCCAATCCAATTTTCCCGGTGAAGTCCAGTGTATTAAGAAGGTGCTATCAGAACAGAACCTGAGAAGCAGAACATTCTTTAATCAAAGCTAGCCTACTGGTCCATCTAGCTTCTTCCTGACAGCAGCTCTCCAGGGTTTGCAAACCGGGACTGAAGCCAAGATCTTTTATAATCATAGCATGCATTATGGTGCTTTCTCAAAGACCTTTACCAGATACAGAAAAGCAAAACAAGAAGTTGGCCAGGCAACAAAGCACCTTTATTATAGGTCCCTGTTCCTGGCCTAGTAAAGCAGGTGCCTTCCCTTGAACATAAGCGAGGCGTGCCACACCCCTCACGCAAGGTCAAGACAACCAGTTCTACTATGTGGAGGTGATACTGGCATTTCCTTTATTGGCTGCATATTTACTTGCAGTAAGGAAAGGATGTAACAAATGCCTTGCTGGCTTAGATTCAAGATGTGTCTACACAACTTCCGGTCAGGAGATGTTGAGAACAGAGCTCCCCTAATGTGCTGCACTACAATTTCCATCACCTCTGCAGCATGCCCATTGGTGCTGCATGTTGCAGTCTAACACGTCTGAATGGTGCCAGGTAGGGGAAGGCTGCCTGTTCTGAATGTATTTCAAGTGATTTATGGACGACTGAGATTTCTCATAGAATCAGAGAATAGCATTTTGATTGATTGATTGATTGATTGATTGATTGATATCCCACCCCTTAGCCAAAAATAGGTAGTAAAGTCGGAAGGGGACACAGCGCATCAGGTCCAACCCCCTGCTCAGTGCAGGGCTCCAAGTTAATCCATCCCTTCGCAATGGCTCTCCAGTTGCATTTTGAATGCCTCCAGTATGGGAGAGCCCACAATTTCACAACCTCCCAAGGTAATTGGTTCCATTGTTGTATTGCTCGTGTGAAGTGAAAGGGAACAAATAATTTGCACTCTTTAAGTACACAAACAAGATGTGACCAAGGGATGGAGGGTGGGGCTATGCTTATGAGCAGCATGTCCTCTAGGTTCACAGCCAGCTCTATAAAATTACTGCGAGCCTATCTTCTGCAGCTCCATCATATGATAATTTTGCTTCTAATTCCAAGCTCTTCACTTACTTTCCAGTATATTTGATTCTATGTCTTTCACATATCAATCTCTAATTTAACCTACTGTGACTTACTAGTTTATGTATCAGGATTAGGTTTTCCATGGATTGCCCAGTGATTTTCAAGTTGCACCAGAGCACTAGTGCTAGACAATCAAGATGGGAGTGGAGAACTCTAGCAGGATTTCCACCTGTCTGGTAGTCAGAGGAAGACTAGAGATACGTAGCTAAGCTGCAGTCTGATGGTATGAAGAGAATAGAAGGCCCAAGGATGTATGTTTGCAACACAACAGGCTTTCAGGATTATCAGACAAGTTTTCTGGCACTCAAAAATTCTTACTAGCCCACCTGCTCACTCATAATAAAGACAGTCATTTGTAGCACATCAGTGGCTTTAAACAAGAGTAAGGAAACAATATGCATGCATGGGCAACTTCTAGGTTCAATTTCTGCAATGCGCTCTACATGGGGCTATCCTTGTGCCCACTATGGAAACTGCAACTAGTAAAAAATATGGCAGCCAGGGTGATTTCTATGCATCATGGCGAGACTATTTATTTCCTATTTTAAAGTCTTTGCACTGACATTTCTGGATATAGTACAAGATGTTCTGTGGGGAATCATTAGGATGGCAGCCAGTGAAAAGTGGAGTCCCCCAGGGCTCAGTTCTGGGACTGATTCTGTTCAACCTTTTGATCAGTGACCCAGAGGAAGGGATAACCAGACTGCTGACTACATTTGCAGACTTCACCAAAGTGGAGGCAGTGGACACAACTGAGGAGCAGGTAATCCAGATCCAGAAGGATCTGGACAGGCTGTGGAAGTGGGTGGGGGACAACAGGATGGCATTCAATGCGGATAAGTGCAAGGTATTGTACTTGAGACACAGGAATAGGTGTCACAGGTACAGGATGGGGGACCAGTGGCTGGAGAGCAGGATCTCAGGGAACCTGTCAATAGCAAGCTGAACATGAGCCAGCAGTGTGATGCAGCGGTTAAGAAGGCAAACATCACCCTTGAATGCATAGCCAGAAGCATGGCTTCCAGATCTAGGGAGGTGTTGATACTTCTCTACATGACTTTGATGCACCCAGAAGTGCAGTACTATATCCAGTTCTGGGCTCCACATTATGTAAGAGACATGGTTAGGTTAGAACTGGTTCAGCACAGGGTCACAAGAATGGTAGGAGTGACATATGGGGAGAAATTGAGGGAACTGGGTCTTTTCAGCCTGAAGAGCAGCAGACTCTGAGGGGATCTTTTAGCGACTTATACGTATGTGAGGGGATGTCTTGTGGAGGGCCATGACCTGTTCCTCCCTGCAGTGGAGGACAGGATGCATTCCAGTGGGGCAAAGCTCAAGGAGCCAGGCTTCAGGTTGGATGTCAGGAAGTTCTTCCTGAAGGTTAGAACCCCTAGGACATGGGTACTAAAACTATGGCCCGCGGGCTGGATCCAGCCCACCATTGCCCATTTATCAGGCCTACCCCAGAGGTTTTGCACTGGTCATGCATGGTCACGCAGCTTGCTTGCGCAGAGATCGGTTTGGACTCACTTGGAGAAAATGATCTCCGCTCGAGCAAGCACTGCCTCGCCCCACGCGCCCCCTGCCCCCACCTTGCCATACGTGCCCCAGCCCACCCCCCCCCCCGCCGGCACCACCTTGGGGGCCCGCACCCACCGCTGGCACCTTTCAACTGGACCCCTGTTGGGAAAGTTTGAGGAACCCTGCCCTAGGATATGGAATGGGATTCCAAGGGAGGTGGTTGAGGCCCCAGCAGTGAGGGTGTTCAAGGATAGGCTGGACATGCACATGTTGGGGATTACATGAACAGAGCTGGCTGGAGCCGGGGGGTCAGACTAGATGGCCCAAGAGGTCCCTTCTGACTTGCTTAGTTTCTATGTTTCTGTGTTGGTAATTACCTTTAAAGCCCATCATGGTTTCGGTCTAAAACACCTTCAGGAGCACCTTTGCTGATACATTCTGCGGTGCCAGCTAAGGTCCTCTGGGGATATTCTTCTGAAGTCTGCCTCTGTACAATTAATGTCAACGACCTAGAAGACTTTCTCAGTAGTTGCCACTAATCTGTGGGGTGGTCTGTTGGGAGAGAAGTTTCTGATATCCTAGAATGCTATCTTTCAGAGGGAGTTAGAGGTATCTCTTCTGACAGGCCTTCCCAGATTAGTTCTCAGATCAGTTTTATTTAGTATGTTGCTTTTAGTCTATTTTTTTTATCATTGTTGGTTTTAATTTCTTGTTAACTGCCTATGGGAGCCTAAGGGAATGGAGCAATATATAAAAATTTTAAGACAGACACAGAGAAAAGTGTTATCCTCTGGAAATGATGAACTCAGAAGGAACAACATAGCTCCAATATTATGGCAAGACATAGCATAGTAAGGTACTATCATGCAAATTCTAACCAAATTACAGCAATCAGAATTCTCAGAAAACCTATTAACACAGCCATTATTCAAGTCTAGCAACAAATGCTGAAGAAGAAATCCAAAACTTTTATGTAAGCATCAAAGAGGAAATAGATAATGCATCAAAATAAGACAAGCTAATAATCATAGATGATGGGAATGCTAAGGCAGGAAAAACGCAGAACCCACTGCTGTGGGAGAATTTGGTTCAAGGGTCAGAAACATAGCAGGAAACGACTCATAGAATTCTGTGAAACATACCACATACCACATGATTATGAGAAGGCTAAGTCACATGATTCTTTTTTTAAGTTACTATACTAGAAAATTATTATCAGTGTGGGAAAAGTTATACTAAGATGGTTTTTTCACCCATGGAAGCGTCTGTGTATCCAAATGCATTGAATTTTGAAGGGATTATAAGATATGATGTACATTTTGGATAAAGATGGAGGATTGAAATTGAGCTAAGAAATACAAGAACAGGGAGTTGATATCTTTTGGTGACATAAGGTGGAGATACAATCGAGATGTTTGTTTATTTATTTATTTATTTATTTAGACAGCTTATATGCCGCCCCCTTCGCATAAGCCTCGGGGCGGCTTACAATCATTAAAATCCTGCCTATAAATACAAAAAAAAATACATAGAATAAATAAAATGCCTAAAATAGTGGAAACAGCCTGGTCAGTTTAAAATCAATAAATAAACCTTAGCAATTAAAATAGTGCTTAAATTAAAAGGTCTTGGCCTGGCGCCAAAAAACAAATAACGACGGCGCCAGGCGGACCTCTCTCAGGAGCACATTCCATAGGTTGGGCGCCACCGCGGAGAAAGCCCTTCTCTGAGTACTCACCCTCCTAATATCCTTCACGGAGGGTTCCCAGAGAAGGGCCTCTGCCGCCGATCTCAAGGGGCGGGAGGCATATATGGACGCAGGTGCTCCTTTATGCTAAAGATTGTAAAGTATGGGGCTTTTTATAAGGACTTAATAGTATTTGACTAAATGATGTTTAAACCAGATGAGAAAATGATTAAAAGATTGTGTGACCTTTTACTTGTTAGGAAAATGGAAGATGAATAGGTCAAGGAAGCTATGAGAATATGGGAAGAAAATCTTAGATATAATATTGAACTAGAAATGTGGTAAAAGCTGTGGGAGAGAAATATTAAGGTAACATTAG